CCTGCTTAGCAGGGAGTCTGCTTCTCCCTCTGCCTCTGCCCCCCACTCGTGCTCTCTCTCTCTCAAAATAAATAAATAAAATCCATATATTAAAAAAGGCCACCTAATCTGACTGTATTAATATGAAATGTTCAAAATAGGCAAATCCATAGACACAGAAAGGAGATTAGTGATTGCCAGGGACTGCAATGGGGGGAATAGAGCGAGACTGCTAATGGGTAGGGATTTCTTCTGGGAGTGATGAAAATGTTCTAAATTAGATAATGGCTCCGCTGCCCAATTTAGGAGTATAGTAAAAAACCCTGCACCTTACACTTTAAAAAGGTGCATTTTATGCTATGTGAATTATATCTTAATTTAAAAATGTTTCTCATAGACTTTTAACTATAGAGAACACACTTGAGGTCACCAGAGGTGGTGGGGACAGGTGATGGGGAGGAAGGAGGGCACCTGTGGTGATGAGCTCCTGGTGATGTATGGAAGTGCTGAATCACTATATTGTGCACTTGAAACTATTAGAACACTCACGTATGTTTTTGTTTGTTTTGTTTTTTTTTAAAGATTTTATCCATTTATTTGACAGAGAGAGACACAGCGAGAGAGGGAACACAAGCAGGGGGAGTGGGAGAGGGAGAAGCAGGCTTCCCGCTGAGCAGGGAACCCGATGCGGGGCTGGATCATGACCCAAGCAGAAGGCAGACGCTTAACGACTGAGCCACCAGGTGCCCCAACACTCATGTATGTTAACAGGAATGAAAACAGTTTAAAAAATGCAGCAGATAACAAAGACAATTTGCAAAAAAACCCAAAAACTTTAAAAAAGATTTTACTTATTTGAGAGAGAGAGAGGGAGAACACACACGTGCGGGGGAGGACAAGCAGACCTGGCACTGAGCACGGAGCCCCACGGGAGGCTCCATCCCATGACCCTGAGATCAGGACCTGAGCCAAAGCCAAAAGTCAGAGGCTCAACCCACTGAGCCACCCAGGCGCCCCCCAAGTCAACATTTCTCCCCGCTTTTGTCCCTAGAGGCCCAAAGAAGAGAACTGCGGATACGTCGCCCCCACCGCCCTCTCCTCCTGGCGTTTCATAGAGAGCCTAAGGAGCCCCTGCACCAATGCGCAGGCGCCATTCTTGGTCGGAAGGCGCCCGCGGCTCGCCCCGCCCACGCCAGAGGACTCCTCCCACTTGTCAGGCCTGCTCCACCTCCCTCGGGCCCGGGCACGTGCCTGGCGGCCAGCCGTGGGCGCCAGTTCGCGCTTGCGCCGAGACGCGAGCGCGCCCAGGCAGCCCGCAGGCCCGGGGCGCCCGGAAGTGGCCGCGCCGCCGGCGCTTCCGGCCTTTCCCGAGCGGGTCGTGGGAGAGGGCCCCGGGCCGGGAGCCCAGCGCCGAGCGCGGGCGGTGACCCGGTGCGTCCCGCGGCACAGGCTGGTCCTAGGCCGTGCGGTCCTTCACAACGGCCCGCCTTGGCTCGGTGCAGGAAGGCGGCCGCAGACCTCGGAACCCCACGTGGTCTTCACACGTCATGAACTCTCCTTTCATCTCTTCAGTCGCGTAAAATGCAAAATCCATGCTTGGCCCCCTGGCTGTGCAGCCCCCGGCACCCGCGCCCGCGGCCGGGGCGCGGCCGGGGGCGGGCTGGGGCTCCGTGTCCACCGCCCTCCCCTCCAGCCGCCCGGAGAGGGAAGCGCTAGAGGCTTAGCCTGGTTCCTCTTTGCAAGCTGTCTCAGCATCCCATTCCCATTTATTTCAGTGGATTTTTTTTTAAAGAACCTAATTCTTCTAAGATTTAGTATTTTTAATTGTGGTAAGTGGACAACTTAATTCTTTTGGATTTAAAGCATGCCTTTTTGCACCTGTCCGTTTCTACTGCTGATCACATCTGCAGAGGCTGCATCTTGAAGACAGATGCTGGTCCCCGTCACCTGCCTGAGCCTGGGGACAGAATGCTCTCCTCCGGCTGTCTTTGTAAAGTGTTGGCTCAAGGGCGTGCACCAGCCAGGTACCACTGACGCTATGCTTGGTATTTGTGGGTCTGAAGAGTGAGGCCTGGGGACAGGATTTAGGCCAGCCACTGTTCACTGGAAATACGTGACTCATACGTAATTTAAAATTTGCTAGTAGCCACATTTACAAAAGTAAAAATAAACAAGTTTATTTTTTTAATTTTTTTTTTTTAAGATTTTATTTGCGAGAGAGAGAATGAGAGACAGAGAGCATGAGAGGGAGGAGGGTCAGAGGGAGAGGCAGACTCCCTGCTGAGCAGGGAGCCCGATGCGGGACTCGATCCTGGGACTCCAGGATCATGACCTGAGCCGAAGGCAGTCGCTTAACCAACTGAGCCACCCAGGCGCCCAACAAGTTTAATTTTAATGTTTTATTTAACTCAATACATCCAAAATGCAATTTCAACATGTAAGGAATATCAAATAAGAATATAAAATTAAAAAATGCATTTTGGGGGGTACTAAGTCTTTGAAACCTGGTGTGTGTTTTACACTTACAGCACATCTTGCTTTAGACTAGCCACATTTCAGGCACTCAGTAGGCAGGTCTAGTGGCCACCATATTGGACATCGCAGACTTAGGTGAAATGAAACAGGGATTGTGGAGAAAAAAATGTGTGTGATTCCATGAGGGAAGAGATGGCTCCTCAGCTCACCGTCCCGGGAAATGGGCTGAGTTAAGGTTTTTAAGAGGGCAGCTGCAGGACGTGGCCCTGCCAGCCAAGTGACACACCTACCCAGGCCCCCCATGGCCCCCCCCCATACACTTAACTATTGCACTCTTTCTGGCCGAATTCGGTGAACGGAATGAGGTAATTCCTCATTTATTGGTCAGTGTGTGAAGTCACCTGCACCTCAGTGTGCACCTCAATTAGTGTGTTGTTGATGCTGAATTGGGTTTTCTGATGGAGGGTGGGGTAATGCATATGTTTTAGAACAGGACTTAGCCATTGGGACCTGAAGTTGTTGGTGGGGCCCGTCCCCTGACCTCTCATGTTGGGGAGAGGAATTTGAGGGAGAAAGACAGCTCAAGGGAAAGTAACAAAATATGTCGCGGACCCACAGCTCAAAACAGAAGGGACTTTACTTAAAAAATTAAAAAAAAAAAAAAAAATCTCCACACCCAATGTGCGGGTCAAACCCACAACCCCGAGATTAAGAGTCCAATGTTCCACTGACTGAACCAGCCAGGCACCCCAACAGGTGGGACTTTAGTTTTAGGGGAAGCAGGAGTTTCATCTAGATGATGAATTTTATTGATGCTTCATTTGGAGGCTAAGGACAGGCCTTTTTCCTTTTGAGTCCCCCGTTCTTCCTGCTGCCACGTGCACACATGCACTGTGAGCCTTGCTCCCAGGAAAGCCTTCAAAGTCTCCTCAGGGCCTGAGGGGCTCCAACCTGGGCTGCTGCTCTGGGAATGTAGGACTAAGATTAGGTAAAATTAGAAACACCTGAGCTGGCGTGCCTCCACCCTTTCCCCCTCACTGACTGGCGCTAGCAGAGGCTGTGAGGGAAGAGGGGTGTCTAGAGGACCCTTTTCCTCAAAATCAAACCTTTGTTTTGCCTGGTTGACTCTTCTCCAGCCTAGCCACACCTGCGTCTGTGGGGACAGGCTGGCCGGCCACAGGGAGCAGCATTTCCGTGCCTCTGTCCACTTGTGCCATTTGGTCAAGGCCTCCAGTCCCATAGCTCCCCCGACAGAGCTGCCCAGTGCTCAGGGCGTGAAGCTGGGGTGGGCACACACAGCACAGACTGACACCCACCACCAGGGGCTCTCCAAGGACAGGGATCACACGGAGTCACCTGAGAGGAAAAACACTGCGGTCCAGACGCAGAGCTCAGGCCCACATAAAGTCAGGGCAGAGGTATGGGGCTCTGTGCCAGGAAAAAGCAGTTCCACAGACAGGGAAGCCCCAAACCGCAGATCAGAAAGACAGAGCTAGACTGGCTCTGGTCCTATTTATTACAAAATAATGATTCCAAATCTGGTATAAAAAAGACCCCAGACAGTCCCCAGTACACCTGCCATGCCCCCAACCCACAAAGTCACTCCCTCAGGCACCTGAGCATGCGGGGCTCTCAGATGCGAAGGTCCCCAGCCAGGAGGGCACTGTACCGGGCAGGTGTGAGGGGCAGGTAGGCACCCCCAGCCTGGTCCAGAACATAGAGGGGGTCAGACAGTGTGCTTGGGTCAAAGCCCTCCTTTGTCATCCGCACCTTCTGCTGCTTGAAGGTCTCCGTGGTGGCCAGAGACTCCTGAGGAGGAGCATCAAAAGGAGTTGAAGGAAGGCATATTCTGCCCAGTGGTTCAGGTGAGTCAAGGGACTGAAGTTTGTCAAGGGGCAGGGAAAAGGAGGTATGAGGTCAGAGTTTAGGGGACGGGGTGACAGGGAAGAGAAGGACACAAGCCTGGAGGAGGGCAGAGGGAATGAAGGGGGGCAAAGGAGTGCATGTCTGGGAAGGAGCTGTTCTTTCTCTTCATGGAGAGTATCACGTGAGGATCCCTGTGTGGGGTTTGGGCGCTACCAGCTG